ATTCAGGGGGAAGTGCTGGGGTTGCCACTTCTGAGGACTTACTAAAACAGAATGTTCCATTGTCCCTCTTCCCGCCAAAACAAACATGTTGGGAATCACTCCGTGAACCCCTTTCTTTTCTCCAAGCTGTGGCTCCTCCATTCCAAAGCACACGCAGAATTTGAAGAATGGGAGGGAGAAGAGCTGGGATTTCAAGACTCCAGAACCCTAGGATAAGATTATTTAGTGAGCCAACATGTAGGTTATGTTCCACTCCTCCTCCCTAACACCTGAGCCAGCCCACCTCCGTCGTGGGTATGTTATCAGAGGGGGCTGCGTGTCGACGTTACAGAAAGACGCTGAGAACAGCTCTACAGGAAAAATGGCCCCGGCTGGGAGCTGATCCGCCAGGGGGCCATTTGCAAAGTGGAATCCAAAGCTCCGGCAAGCCCTAGAAAATTACAACCTTGCTCAATGGGATTAGTTGTCCAAAAATGAAGAATATTTTCTTTTACACCACTCTGCCATCTGATAGCTTTCTTTTCCCTGCTCGCCCTCATTTCCCTCTTCGGTGCCAACGGCCAGATCCCGTGGTCAGCAGCATCCTGATCATCAGCACAGTCGTGGGCATGGACACAGAGTCGGAGGGTAACTATGGTTACATGGAAGCAGAGAAACTGGGCAGGGATGCGCTTTTAAAGGGGAAGGAGTATGTAGGGGAAGAGAGCAGAATTGGAAGCATGAGGAAATTTTGCTGTTCTCGCCTCCTAGTTTTTGTGATGCTCTCGTCATTTATTTATTAGTGCAGGAGGCATTTTTATGATGCATCCAGGGCTGGATCCTCCTCCCTCCCTTGGAGGATGTCCTTCTCCAAGAGAGGACAGTTCTGTGGCTCAGCGTGAGGAGGTGTGACAAGCGGAAGGGTCTGTGCTCAGGACTCAGCAGCCAGCATGGCTCACTTGTTAGCAGGCTGTGGCGGGTCTAACAGGGTGTGTTGGGGGGACCACGGGGGGAGACGCAGATTGTCTCAGCCAGATCCCTAGCCTACACCGACCTCTGGCCCTACAGTGGAGAGGGAGGAGGGCTGAGGTGTCTGGGGATATGGATCAGGAAAAGGTTGCAAAAATTTAAAGAACGTGGTCCACTCAGGTTAGAAGAAGAGAAGAAGGGAGAGGGTGTTAGGAGAGAGTGTGTTTGTGCTGGGGGAGGGCACATCACACCGCTTTTGTCTGTGGGATACATAAGCTACAGGGCCTAGCAAAGCTATAATAGGAGGGGGTAGGGACATTTGCCTCATGAGTTCAGCAGAGCACATGGCGTGTGGCTTCATCTCTCTACCCACCTACCCTCTATCTGTCCATCCACCCATCTTTATTCACTCATCTTTTATCCATCCATCCATCCATCCATCCATCCATCCATCCATCTATGAATTGTCATCTGATCCATCTCCTCTCCATGCATCCTCCCATTAGACCATGATCCATCCATGCATCCATCCATCCATCATCATCATCCATCCATCCATCCCATTTGATCATGATCATCCATGATCCATGTCTCTTCGCCATACATGTTTTTCTCTCTCTTGAATCCATGAATCCATCCATGCATCCATCCATCCATCCATCCATCCATGCATCCATCCATCCATCTATGAATCCATGAATCCATCCATGCATCCATCCATCCATCCATCCATCCATCCACCCACCCACCCACCTATCCTCTATCATCCATTCATCTTCCCTCCCTTCCTCCCTCCCTCTATTCATCCACTCATTCCTCTGTTATTAGCAGCACTTGTGGGATGCCCACACTCACAACGCACCATGCTAGGTGCGGAGGAGGTGAAGAGAAGACCAGGTCGCCCCGTCCAGGAGTTCCCAGCCTAGGGAGAGAGACAGCTGAGTAGACCAGTGATGACAGGCAGGGGGAGGAGCACTCTAAGAGAGGTGAGCCCGGGGTTCCTTGATGGGAAGAGAGGCTTTCAAGTCAGACTCTGAAGCGGGAGGGAAGGCTCCCAGAGGGAGGTGCTATTTAAGCTGAGCCTTGGAGGAGGAGCACACCATGGGGACTGTCCTTCCCTCGGTGGAAGTTCTGGCATCAGTCCCCTTCCTGCCTCAGTGGAAAGCAAGTCCCTCCAGGGTTTGAGTTCCCTCCCAGCCCATGTCCAGGCTGGGAAAACTTACCCACCTGCCATCTCCCCTCCTTCCCCTTCCCCCAAAGCCCCAGCTGGAGCAGACCATGTGCCCAGCCCGGCAGAACCGCCCCTTTTCTGAATTGGGCCTCACTGCTCCGTCCTTCTGACCTTCCTTCCCAGCGCCCTTCCTCCCTCTGCGAGGCCAGTGTCGGCTCACCCGTGATGGTTCCAGATGCTCGCCTGGCCCTGTGTTGCAGCGTGAAGATCACCCTTCTGTGGTCACCCAATACGTACGCCACACCTGGTGCTATTAGAACGGACAGGTTCTCTTTGAGTTATGGAGCGTGTGTGAGAACCACTTCATCTACCACCCGCCGGCCATGCCTACACCACTCGGGGCCCTGCACGCTTGTGCTGCAAGGCTTTCTGGGCTGTGATGCGGTCAGGAGTCCCTTGGCTGCCAGTTGGCCACCTCAAACCCATCACGGAAAGGACCCACCTCGAGAACGCCAGACTCTGAAAGAAATCATTGTCAGCCGTGGCTTAGGAAGCCCTTGACAATCTACAATACTTTCCTTCAAAACAAAAACATAGAGCCGTCACTTAATCAATTGCTCGCCACCACATTATTGCCCCCCGCCTCGGTAGGCGTTAATCACCCATTTGCCGGGCTGGGACACAGCTTGGAGGGCAGGGGCTCAGGCCCAGCACAGCTGCCGCCCTGTGTGGGAGCAGGGCTCAGAAGGGGGACAATGCCTCAAGAGAGCATGCTCTGCCTCACTTCCGTGCGGAATCTAAAACACGCAACAGAGACAGACACAGACACACAGGACAATGGAGGGGTTGGGGGAGGGTGCTGGATGGAAAAGGCAAGGGGGAATAATAGGTACAACCCTCCAGTTATAACATAAATAAGTCACAGGGGTATAACATACAGCACAGGGAATATACTCAATGTTAAAGTGACTGTACAGTGACAAACGGTTGCTAGACTTACCATGGCGATCACATTGTAAGGTATGTAAATGTTGAATCGCTGTGTTGTGCACCTGAAACTAATATTGCATGTCAATTCTACTGATAAAAAGCATCCTCCATTTGATAAAATATCAGGCCTGCTCCTACTTAAAGGTGAAGTAGAGTCAGAGGTGTATGCTGTCCGCTCCTCCCGCCTCCCTCCTTGGCTTTCCACTCGCTCCCCACATGTCATTACCTCTGCACAGAGGGTGCAAGAACATGGCGTTCAGCATGACATCACTGGCAGAATGTCGGGGGTCGTGCGGCCACCTGGGGAGGGCGACACGGGAGCATGTCAGGTTGGGAGGAAGCATCGTCGCCCACCAGCTGAGGACATCTTCCAAGCTCAGTGTGTCCAAGAGGGTCAGCCAGGTGCTGAGTCCAATAGCTGGGCGTTGCCCGAAATCCAGGCAAGTCCTCCGAGTGCCTCAGGGATACTGCCTGCTGGGTCTGCATTGAGATTTTATCAGACGGTCCAGGCTGTTCCTGCCTCTCTGTCATGTCTGGATGCTATCCAGTCCCACCTGGTATGAGCAGCTGTGCTGGAGACAGGTGGATGGGCACAGCCCGCCCCCGTCCGGATGGAGCTATGCATATCTGTTCTTGGTACCCACTTAGTGAGGATGTGTCAATTGATTATGTAAGAACTCAGAGGTGTGCTTTCCTCCCTTCCCTTTGAGAGTGCGTTCAGGTCACATGGGGCACACAGAGGACCCCTCCTTGTCCTTGGCTTCCCCAGCCAGCCCCTGACAGCCATGTTGGTTTCAAGGATCTGCCTTCCTGCCAGCCCTCTGGGCATCTCTCTCACCCTGACCTCCAGCCAGTCGACAACGAGGACTGAACGTGAAATGCCTTGTACCCGTGTGTCCTCCTAGCCCCTCCAGCACTTTAATGCCCTCTCAGGCCCATTGCCTTTTACCCGCCCCACCTACTGGCCTCCCAGTGCCCACTAGCCTGCCCCCTGGCTCCACGCTGGCCCCCTGGCTTAGCCTGGCTTTTTGAGGTCACCCCAGTATGACTTCGGCTTCTTTCCAACTCTGGTTATTCATTCAGCAAACATGTATGGAGCACTTCCTTTGCAGGGTGTTGGGAGAAACTCAGGATGCAAAGGTGAGAAGGTCTCAGGACCTGACCTTGAAGGGCTCCCAGCCCAGTATGAGAAGCGGCCCTTCTCTAGCTCATTCAGTGCAGAACTGCGCTCCCATTGCAATGGTGGAACACAGAGAGGCTGCGTGGGGGAGCGTGGGGTGAAGGAAGGCCTCCCAGAGAAGGAGGGCCGTGGCCGGGCCTGGCAGGTAGGGGGAGGACCAAGGGCAGGGAGGGACAGCAGAAGGCTGGCGTTCCCAGCATGCCTCCCACATGCCGGTAGAACTCATGCCCGCGTGCTGCTCCCCAAACGCGGACCACTCTCTCCAGCCCCCCGGCCATCGGTCACGCCATTCCTGTTAGAACGCCATCCTGCCTCCCTCTGCAAGTTAGTTCTGTCTGTAGAAATCTTACTGGCCTTTCAAGGCCACACCCAGATTCTATGTCTCCCCTCGACCCATCAGCATTTCGCTCGCCATTGAGGCTCCTACCCTCTTCTGTTCCTTTTGTTGTTTACTTTTCTCACCTCCTTGCTCCTATAACCTCCTTGAAAAGCCAACTTGGCCATGGAACAGAAAACTCTAATAAGCACTGGTCTAAGCAAAGAGTAAAAAGCAGCGTGAAACGTGCCCTTGAATGCTTATGTTCTTGGCTTCGTGGCTGGTGTAGTTGGGTGGTCCTTGGTGTCGGGAATGCAGTGCCTGCCGTTTACCTTGGCAGCCCCTCGGTATTAGAATATATTCAAAGTCACCTTTTCTTCTCTCTGTCTATGCAGGTTTCGATGACCTTGAGATGTGTGATGACCCAGGTGTCCCCAAGAATGGCTTCAGGGAGCCCAGCGAAGGGGTTTTCTTTGAAGGCTCTGTCGCCCGATTCCATTGCGAAGACGGATTCGCGCTGAAGGGCTCTGCAAAGAGACTGTGTATGAAGTATTATAATAGCACCCTAGAATGGATCCCAAGTGATAAAGCCATCTGTGTGGAAGAAGGTAAAGTGCTTAAACCCGCTCCCCTGGCGCCTTCCGTGGAGACCTTGCAGGTGGCTGGCTTGCGCTGCCCGGCCGCTGGGGTGCAAGGCTGTGCGTGCCAGGGGGGTGAGTGCCCGGGCTGCTGTCTGTTTCCGGGCTAGGCCTGCACGCTGACAGGAAAACACGCTTGCGTCGTGAGGGCCGGGGGAGATAAATTCATCCTGGCGTTAGAAGGAATCATCTTCCTCCTCTATCTCAATTACCACCCAATTTATCATCATTTTTGTCAACACAGGAGAGAAACTCAGATAACATTAGGGCTATTTATTATTGAGCTGCCAAGGCCACACTCATTTCCATGTTACTCAATAAAAAGCGCAGTAAATATATTGGGCAAAAACTACATATAATGATACAGACGATACCTGTTACTCTGAGGATTAAATCAATTACCACTTATCAGTTCTCTGTTAGATGTGATTCATTTAGGGAAGGAACTGTGACAAGCAATGACAGATTGACAAAGTAGACATTTATTCTAGCAACCATCCCTAAATTTACTGATCATGACAAGATATTTTTTTACTTTCTGCAATTATCCCTTAATCTGTTGGTTGAAACAACTTTATACACACACACACACACACACACACACACACACACGTAGTTTTTACTCTTTGTAAATACTTTTAGAGTTTAAAGAATGCATTGAGTTTAACTAATTGGAATGTCAAATTATTGATTATGCATTTCTGAGGATCAGAAAGAAAGAAGTAGACATAGGTGTGAATGAAGAATTAATTCTAGCCCCAAATTTCCATGAGGCATAGAACTTATATTTCATTGAGTTCATTAGAAATGAGTTTCAATTTCTCTCAATGCCATTATTGATTTTATTTTGGGATGGAGCTTTTATAATAATGATATATAAACTCTTACTCTGATTTAATGTCTGTCTCTATGAAACTTTTAAAATAATTTAAATTTGGGAAGCATTTATTATGCTCCTCCTTACAGAAATTTTAAAGGATGGATAAGATGGTGTCTTCCCCTTAAAGTATTTGCTATCTCTGCTTTTATTTTTAAGGTATTTTATTAAAACCAAAACTAATATAAGGAATTAAGGTTTCAAAAAATAAATTTAGTTTTCCTCTTATTATATACCGCTCATGCAAGCTGTGGTTTCCAGAAGGTTCTATTCGTTGTAACGATAGTTCTTTGGTTTGTACATATCAACTTCCTTGCCTAAACCTATGCTCTCGGATACCCAGTGCTTAAAACCCAGGGAAGCTCAAAAACATCAGAGAACATAAAACCCCAACAGCCTTCCTGAATCCTGCCCAGAGGTGAAGTCCCTGTCATTTTGGCATCTTGGTGGGAAAAAAAACAAAGAGGTTTATCCCTCTCTAGAGGAGTGTCTTTCCAACCGTGTGTATAGCTGTCTGGTGTAAAGGAACTCTAAAGGAGGGAGTGAACACTCACGTTGGAGCGGGAGGCCGGGGCCGCGCACCTCCGCGCGCCCGCCTCACACTTAGCCCCAAAGGTTTGCTTAGGGTCTCTGCAGGCTGGGGCGGGGCAGGCCAGCGCTTTCATTGTGCAAACTGAAGACAGACCCCTGTTTCCAAAGGAGGGTCCGGGACTCTGCCTTCCGGCCATAATGGTGTGCTCTAATTGCGTTTTTAAGAAAGATTGAAAGAACAGGCATTGCCTTTCTAAGTCTGATGGTATATTGAGTTTTACTATTAATGATCATTGTGTTGGATTTTTGAAAGATCTGGATAAAGAGATGGCCTTTGTTGTCCTGATGCTGGACAAAATTGCTCAAGTCCTGGTAACCATTCCTTAGTCTAAGTGGCTTATAGGGGCGGGACACCCCCAGAAGTCTACTCCCTGGGTGTCTTGCAGCAGTGAAGAAGCTAAACTGCCCCCCGATCCTTGCCCGCCTCACAAATGGCCTTGACTCGCTGCTCAGGGTTCATGCAGGAAATAGTAAGGGCGGCTGGATTCCTTTGTATCCCTTGTCAGGTAATTCTTAGAAGGCTAATGAATTTTTGCGTGGTGGTAATAGTAATAACAGTAATAAATTATCTCATTTTTATAGGTCATTACAGTTTAAAGTTTCATATTCACTGTCTCAGTTTCATAGGCACAACCACGCCACAACATGAGTCTTATTGTGCTCATTCTCTCATTAGGACACTGACGCTCAGAGAGGTTCACGTACTTTGTTAAGGTCACACAGCTGAGGAGGAGCTAGTGGAGCTGAAACTACTCAGCCAGCATTTTTTTCCCCTCCAAGGTTATGTGTGACCTTCTTTGTGTCACAAAAGCCCCTCTCTAAAACGTTACAGTCAATGGCATCACTGAAGTTCAGGGTTGAAGGAACCCCTAGAGACCATATATTCCAAGCCCTTAAACCGGTGTGGTTTTTGTTTGAGCAATAGAGAAACCGAGTCTCGGAGAAGTAAAGAGAACCCCAAGAGTTACAGGGCAATTTAGGGACAGACCTGTTCAGCCCCAGGTCTCCTCACTGTCGCCTGAACTCCCTGCAAAGTTCTGCCTGAGATGCAAACTTAAAAAAAAAGAATAAGTTTATGTGCGTTAAAATGCTTTATAATAGGAGAACATTCTACTGAAGCCCAGTGGTTAGTAGACAAGTGTTATCCTTGTTCATTGACACAGATTCCCTCCCTTTCATCCTCCACTTCATTCTGCCCTCTGTCTCAGCCATCTTCCTTCTCTCGTGGCCCAATCTAAGTGGTTTATTTCAAGCACTCTGAATGTATAGAAGTTTGGAATTACAGGACTGATAATGCAAGCAATGAGTTCATCATAGCCCCCAAAGGCTCCAGCCTAGAGATCCATAGAGATGCATCCCTTGCTTCTCTGAGCTGCTTCCCTGCCCGTCCTGACACCGGGGTGAGAATGTTTGTGGTCCAGGGAGCAGAGGAGGCGACAGATAAGGTAGAGAGGAGAACCTGGAGTTGGCAAAGGCTAGAAAATATGTCTTGTGGGCACAGGGCTCCTAATGCAAATACAGTGACTAAAGACCAGGGTGACAGCCACCATCTGGGCCTCTTCCTTCCCAAAACCACTCAACTAGGCCTCCTGGGGGAGGGAGGTCACTCTTCCTGGGTAAATACAGCTCTTTTCCACATTTCATAAGAAAAGGTGGATGTGAAGTAAAGATGACTTTATATAAATTTACTGTATAAACACTTAACACATGACAAATTGGGACATGTCCCAGCCTGCTCACCTTAATAGGGGCAGGGACAGCTTTGCGGTGATTCAGACTACAGTTTGCTCAGATAAAGAAGTAGTATTTTAAAAAATCAATATCCCAAAGTGACAAAGGTAAAATGAATTCAAACCCATTTGTGTTATGAACAGCCAAAACTTATTTATTATCAATGTTAATGGAAAGATTTCATTACTTACCCATCCCTGGGTGCAGCGGGGATACTGACTACATCTCAGTTCTTAGGACATTAGTTATCCTGGCCAGATAGCAGTTTTGGGTTTTGTTTTTTAAAAAGAGACAAAATAAATAATGGCTCACAGTTCCCGGGCTGGGCTTGAGCCTCCTCGGGTTATGAGACTGCGGCACTCAGGTCCCTGCTGCCACGGGATCTCTTTCCTGGGGAGGCTGTTTGGGGTATTTTTAAAGGTCAGGCGCCTCTAGCGGGAGCTTCAGCTTCTGGGTAGATTCAGGTGCCCCCTGAGCACCTTCGGGCGTAGAGGACGTACTCCTTGGGCATCATGGAGTATGTTGCCTTTGACCTCCCTCTTGGGGTATGACCTTGAGGAGGGAGGAGAGGCTGACCTGGGGCTGTGGCGGACTTCCATCGTCATGCCATGGCGTTTTATATGGTAGGACTTTCCCCACGGAACGAAGGTTCCTTTCTCTTTCCTCCGTGCCTTCCCCTTGAGCAGCTCTGTGAATAGTCAGCCACGTGGGTTGCTCAATGCAGAGCCACTTTGGAGGGATCCCTGCTAAGCCAATAAAAAGGACGTGGGGGAAGCTGGAGGCCCATGGGTTTCACAGCCAGCCTCGGTGCGAATCTTCCAGACCAGGTGCCAGGCCAGCCTAGGACCGCCGGGATGCTGCTGAGCAACCCCAGCAGAAGGCTGTCGTTAGAGGCTAGGTTGTCCCCGTAGAGCGCGCTGGCTTGAGCCGAGGACTTTTCCAGGAAGTCCTCTCTCTGACCGGTGGGCGACTCCTTTTGGCCTGGAGAGGAGCCAAGGGAAGGAGTAGGTGGAAAAGGATTGTGTAAATGACACATTTGATGTGTCCAGGAAGCACAGCCCTGTAAGGAGGTGGTTTTCCTCGCTCTGGAATCCCTCGGCCGCAGCAGCCCCTTGCTTGTCACCGGCCGTGACCTGCAGCGCCATGGGAGGGTCCTGGGTGGAGGGAAGCATGGCTGGACCCCATGGACTTGGCCTGACCACCCGAAGAACCACCTCATCTGGCCCTTCCATGCTTCGGGGCAGAAAGACCCCCTGATCTAGAAGGGAGAAGAGGGTACCAGTGACATGCTGTCGCTGTGGCGCGTGTGGTGGCCGGGTCCCCGCAGACCTCTTGCACTAGGATGTTAGGAGTGAGGCCAAGGACTGCCTATATTTTTTAAAACTCTCAGCTGATTCTTGCGTGGAAAAAAAAAAAGTTTGAAATCCAGTCATGCAGGGATGTGGTTTGATGTCGCTTTACCTGGGGGAAAAGAACACGATTTTCTCCCCCGTTAAACAGAGCTCCTGGAGGATCATTAATTTGTAGTGTCCGAGGTGGTCAGCGTGGTCATTTCACAGGGCGGAAACTCAGGCCTACGGAGCTTAAGTGCCTGCCCCAAGTCACGTGGCGAATCCACGGGATCGGGACCCGCATTCTGACTCACTGTTCAGTGCTCTTCCTACTCTCCTGGTGGCATACACACAACCCAGGCTGCACGTCAGGGCCGCCTGGGGGGCTCTGAGAAGTAAGGGAATCTGGAACTTTCTCCAGGAGATTTAACGTGAGTTGT